ACACACACACACACACAGTGTAATTTAGGTAGATATATGATTCCTAATGACCTTTTCAGACACCTTTTATTTTACCCTCCTCCCTCTCCTTAATTAAAGCTCCCTTCTCTCTTCCCCCTCTTCAAAGCACTTGAGTCCTGCAAGTTCCCTTAGTACTGTCCCTCTGCCCTGACCCCAGTGATACATTTTTACTTTTCTGGTTTCTGCACTTCTCCAGTTACATACTCACATCTGAGGATTCAGGCCTAGAAACTGAAGGGAAGCAATGTTCGTCTCTTTGGGTCCAGGTTACCCCATTCAACAGAGAATTTTTTGAGTTCCGTCCATTTACCTGAAATTTCAGTCTTTACAGCAGAATAGTATTCCATAGTATATGTACACTACATTGTCATTATCATTATCCTGGCAGCTGAAGGACATTCAGTGTTTCCACGTCCTAACCATTGTGAACAGGGTGGCAGTGAACACGGCTGGGCAGGTATCTGTGGAGCAGGATAACAAGTCTTTGGACATATGCCAAGGGGTAGTTTAGCTGGGGCAGAAAGTAGTTGGTTTTATTTTTTAGCTTTTGGGGTTCCCCATATGATTTCCAAAGTGGCTGGCAATCCCACCAACAGCTCAGCAGTTGAGAGAACTGGCTGCTCTTCCAGAGGCTCCGGGTTCAATTCCCAGCACCCACATGGCAGCTCACGATTGTCTTTAACTCCAGTTCCAGGGCATCCAACACTCCTACAGAGACATACATGCAGGAAATACACATACAATGCACATAAAAATACAAATAAATAAATTATTTAAAAAACAAATGTATTTATATGCGTAAATTTAAAAAAGGTCTGAGAATAATGAAAAGTTGATGACATAAGAGGCAAAGAAAAATGCATGGCTTTAAAGGGACATGAGAAGAAACTCTTGGCTAATATGGAATTAGCATAGATATTTCTAGATGGTTATATAAATACCATCTGAATAACTTCAATCTTATCATAAACTAAAGCCAGTGGCCAATCTTTCTACATCTGATTTGAAGAATGGAAGAGGGAGGAATGAAAGGCTATAACTAATGTGAAAAAGAGATAAAAGACAGGATCACAACTACACTTGATTATCCGGCTAACAGCTGAGAATTTCAATAAAAGAAACCATAAATGTACTCAGTTGCCTGGATGGATATTTTGTTAAAGTAATGAAAGAAACCTTTTGTTGTTGTTGTTGTTGTTGTTGAGATCGGGTCAACAACGCTGTTGTTGTTGTTGTGCAACGCTGGATGGTGTGGAACTTGCTGAGATTTGCCTACCTCTGCTCCTGCAGGGCTGGGACGACAGGAGTGCACCACCATGCCAGTCAACTTAATTTTTAAATCAACAGTAAAATCTCTTTCCTTTATAGAGATTAGTAAATGTAGTGATATTCCATTTGTACTTTAATAAATAAAACTTGCCTTAAGATTAAAGAGTAAAACTGTCCCACTGGTCAGCCTTACAGACCAGGCAGTGGTGACACACACCTTTAATTCCAGTAGGCACACTAGTTTACCACAGAAACCAGATGGTGCACGCCTTTAATCTCAGCCCTAGAGAGGACTATAAAATGGAGGGGACAGCTCTCACACACAGTCTCATTCTGAGATTCCTGGAGGCAGGACCGCCATTTCAGACTGAGGTAGAGGTAAGAGCCAGTGGCTCTGACCTGCAGGTTGAACCCCAATTTCCATCTCTGAGATTTTATTAATTGTGATACAAGTAAAGACCTGTGCAGTTATTAACACCTGAATGGCTTGTCATCTATTTACCAAAGCTACTTTCTCATTTCATCTTTATATCCATGTAACATGTGATTCTTATGTGTTCTTTTTTGGGTGTGAGGGGGTTGAGACAGGATTTCTCTGTGTAGACCAGGCTGGCCTTGAACTCACAAAGATCCACCTGCGTCTGCTTTCTGACTGGGATTAAAGGTGTGCACCACCACTGCCCGGCAGTTAACGTGCAATTCTTAACATGTTAACAGCTGAGAAAGACAGCTGGCTGAACTCTACTTCAGCCTTCTGGATCCTTCACTTCTTGGTAAGCAGTCAGGACTTTGACACTGCTGTAGAAATATCAGGAAATGATCTGTTAAAAATCTGGATGTCCCGCTACAGATGAGTGCCAGGGTAAGAAAAAGAACTAGTCTTGGGATAAAGTCTACAAAACAGTCTGCAGAATTAGTTCAAAGACCACAGGGAGAGAACATCAATTTGCGCTCAACATTGGCAATGTGAATGCACAGCAGAGCATTTTATGGTAACTGTGGCCCACCTCGGTGGAAAGCTGAGGCTATAATCATGGTCATTCTGACTAAGATGGTAAATGCTACAGCTTGAATGAGAATCACATTAAATAAGCTTTTCCATAAATAAAAATTTCCTCACAAAGTTTCACAAGTTTGAATACTTAAAAAAGAGTAAGTTGGGTCTATTCAGCAGAGAAGAAAAATAGTAGCGGTGGGAGTTGCCACGGGCTACAGTCAGGGTGCGCACAAGTGAGCTGGAAACGTAACTGCTGAACAGCATGGAAATGAACCTTTCCATTTCCAACACGAAAGCTGTGATAGGTTATAAACATGTTTGTTCAATACTATAATTTCTCAGTTAACGAGACTTTAGATTAGAGTATATTCTTATACACAACTAATACACTAATATTTGAGGCTCTTGCCCTTACTCTCGCTACCCTCCTCCCTCAAGGCTTTCTGGGCACAGTGAGTGACTAACCGGAAGCAATGAATGGCAGAGCGGGTTCAGAGAGCCTGGAGGTGTGAAACTGTCTACATAGAAAATACCCCAGCACTGGCTTCGGTGCGTCTCAGGGTCATCAGGAAGGCCGGAACAATGTGAATAAAGAAAGATAATCCTGACCTTAAAGACTGACAAAACAAAAAGTGTCTGCATACAACTAAGCCGTGTAAATGATATTCCCTCATATTTCAGTTAATATATTTTGAGATTTGTATTTTTAAAAAATAAATGATAAATCCCAGCACTCGAGAAGCAGAGGCAGGCAAATTTCTGAGTTTGAGGCCAGCCTGGTCTACAAAGAGCAAGTTCTAGGACAGCCAGGGGTACACAGAGAAATCCTGTCTCAAAAAAAAAAAAAAGGAAGAAAGAAATGATAAATATGATAAATTTAAAATTAACAAAGCAGAACTCAGAAGTAATAAATCAATTGTTCTACTTAAGTTTAAAGTGGTTACAATCTTCATAGATGTTATTAAATAGGATACACACATATATTTGTAACCATTTGATTAAAAGAACAGGAGACATGGGATCTAGAATTACTTTTAAAGATCTGTTTCATTGTTGAATGCTTTTTTTGTTTGTTTGGTTGGTTGGTTTTTCGAGATAGGGTTTATCAGTAACTTTGGCGCCTGTCCTAGAAACTAGCTCTTGTAGACCAGACTGGCCTCAAACTCACTTAAATCCGCCTGCCTCTGCCCAGCCTGTTGAATGTTTTAAAACAAAAATAAATGTATCAAAATGTCTCTTGGTTCAGAATACACAAATCACGTTTCAATTTAATTACTCATATAAAAAGCAATGCCAGTCTAAATTTAAGAACAAATTTGTAAAGTAAAATACTAGCCCATATCTCAGAAAGTACTTATGAGTTCTCTGTCCTCTCCAATAGCTTCCTTGGCTTCCGCTCTATCTTCCAGGCTAAGAAGTAAACTTTACCTCCAGTCTTTTTCAGAGATCCCCCATTTTCTGGCTTCTGGTTTTCTTGGTTAGATCCTGATACTGCTCCTAGTAGACTGTAAGCAACTAGAGAACAAGGTGTGTGGCGGCTTCACTTTGGTTTCTTGTATGCCAAATCTAAGCAAACAATGAGTGACTAGTGACATCAGCTTCCTTTCAGAGCTGTGCATATGTCCTGTAATAAAGAGAAACTCAAAATTCCATATCTTTAAAAGTTCCTGTGACATTTCTTTCATCCAACTGATTTTCCAAGTGTTACACTACAGATTACATGGAAATTAAATTTTAACCCTATAGCCATAAACCGAAACTGCAAACAAACCAGTGCCTTTTCTGTCCTTGTTCTAACTGTTCAATGACTTTTCTACTCTTAGATTTCTACTGAGGCCCTATACAAAAAAGGTATTATTACTCTACTTTTAGGTAGTTCCTAAAGTGTAAACGAGCTCTTTCCTTACAACTTTAGTAACATTTAATCTACATACAATAACCTGCAAAAAAGGTACTGTGTGATCTGGTGGAACTGGGCCTATGGGCACACCTGTGAAGACCTTACTGCAATCAGGAGGGATTTCCTCCACGCTCCGAAGCAGTCGGCCCTCTGTCCACCCGTTCCCCACGCTCCGAAGCAGCCCGTCCTCTCTCTGTCCACCGTTCCCTAAGTGTAGTCACTGCTGTACTTTCTACGACTTTAGTTGTATTTTTTGGAATCTTATTATTTTAAAAAGATGGAATCATAAGTGTATACTCTCTTGAACTTCTCTCTTCACATAATTACTTTAAAAAGTGTCCAAAGTGTAGCATAGTCGGCTGATTTCTGCTGCCGAGCAGCTATTTCACACAGCTCCCTGCAGGTTCTTTACACACCTTCCTACTGATGCAAATCTAGGCTGTTTTGAGGCTTTGAAGTTCAGATCCCTAATTCCAACACCCAAAATTTCAGACAATCTAGAACTTTCTGAGTCCTAAATTAACCAGTGAACAACTCCACACCTGACCAGTGTGGCAGGCACATCACCAACACTGCATTAAAGGGCTTTGAAAAGTGCACACAAAACAAGTGTTATGTTGGAAAATCTGGGTTCCTATCCCGTAAAATGTCTCATGTGCAAGTGAATTATCACATTTACCAAACTTATATCAAATATCACATAATATCCAAATTATCCCCTAAAGTCCAAACTTCCAAATCATTTCCGGTCTTAAGCATGAAAAAGGACACAGAAGCTGTACTAGAAATGAAGCTTCAAAGAACAGGCTCACGTGACTCTTCACAACCACACTTTAATTCCCAGGGGAAAGTATTAGTGCGTGGGAACAGAATGGCTGGTACAGCTTTCCTTGGTGAACAACAATGAAATCTTTTGCTCATTTTAAATTGCATTTCTTTCTTCCTGTTGTGTTTTAAGAGCTTTTAAAAGTATGTATTCTAGATATAAATCTTCATTAACTATATAATGTACACTTTTATGCACACAACCCTGTGCATGCCAGGCGTGTTCTACCATTGAGATACATCTTCAGAAAATGTTTAGGCTTTGCTTTTGTTTTTAGACAATGTCTGTTTAGCACAAGGGGGCCTGAAACGCCTAACTCTCATCTCAGCTTCCAAAGTAATGAGATTACAAATCTCCATTTTTAAAAGTGTGGACTGGGTGATATAACTCAGAGGCAGAAACTCAGAGGTCCTACCATACATAGGACCCTGTGCTTAATCCCAGAACACACCAAAATGAGTTTTAAAATTATTCTTTTAAAATCTCTCTTTCTCTCCCCCCTTTGATTAGTGTCCCTCTCATTATTTCCCCTTATCTCATTCCCCATCCACCAAACGCTTCTCAAGTCCCCTTTCTTTTGTCACATTTTAGGTGACCCATTGCGTGTAATTAGGACTGCCTGTAGGAGCATGATGAGGGCCTCTCTTGAAGGGTTACTGCAGCCTTCATTGGTCTGTAGTCCCTCTGGGAGAAATGGGCCTTATGTGCCCTTCCCAGGGATGGAATGCTGATGGGTGGAGTCTGTGCAGGTGGCCACTGCTGCCGTGAGTTTGTGACAGCACCCTCAACATCAAGTACAGAAGTCTGCACATTACAGAACTGATTGCCATCTTTCAGCTCTTACCTTCCTTCTGTTCCTCTTCCTTGCTATTCCCTGAACTGGACGGGTGCAGTGAGACAGGTGTTCTATTTAGGGCAGTGCCTTCAGCAGACATTTGGCCCAAGCAGTAACAAGCTATGGATCTCTGCATTGCCCTCTCTACCCACTACTAATAGATGCTTCTCTGAACAAGGCTGAGATCGTGGGAAAGTGCTTTGACAATTAGGCTATGGCAATATAATAATCATTATCTGTATTCCAAACTATTGTTCTGCTATAGGAATCCATTATCTATAATCCACAGCTATCAAATTTCCCATGCTTATTAAGCCTGATAAAATATGACAAATAGGTAAATGGGATTGGCAGAATGTCTGCTTAGTATGCATGAATACCTAGTTTCCCTCCCCAGTACCACATAAAGTTGGGCATGTGTCACAGTCTGTGATCCCAGCAGCTGCAGGTAGAGGCAGAAGGATCAATCAAGGGCATCCTCGGCTACATGGCAAATTTGGGTTGAGCCTTTTTTTTTTAAAAAAGGAAAATAGAATATAGGAGGAAATCACGGACTTTGCTGACATTCTTTTCAGTTCCTCTTCATTAAGGAATGCCTTAGCAAACTACTAGTGGGTAATGCACAGAATTAGTCCTTAGGCAGCCGGTAAGCAGTGACATTATTACTTCTACAGCCTTCTGTGTCTCTGAAGCTCGTATTTTCTGCCCTGGAATTAATCCCTGCAATGTATGTGACTGTGACTGTAACACCCTTGCCTGCTATATACTTCCATTCTCATTTCTTTGGTCCCTTCTCTCCTTCAGTCCTCCATACATTTTCCTGTAGTCTCCAGCATCCCACACCCATATCTTTACTAAACTTGGCCACAGAATTTTACCTACCTTATACTAGATGTCTAGCATGCTTTTTACTTCCAAGGGAATAAAACAACAAACAAAAAACTTTTAGTTCAAAAAGGAAGTGAAGCCATATTTTCAGTAGTAACCTAGTAAACAGTACTTGCTACCAGAATAAAGCAAAGCGAACACACTATTATTTTAAACATTCTGGGTTTAGACTTACATATACCCAACAATGAACAAACAACATTTCTAAAACAAAAGTGAATTGAAGGGCAGTCCTGGGACTAATTCAGATACAGGGCATACCACGTTATGAACCAGTCAACATGCACTGTTTATGCCATGTTCTACAGGAAAAAAAAAAGCTATTTCTTCTTAAATTCTCATAGGAAATATCTGTGGGAGATGTTACAATGTCAGACACAACTGGAAGTTTTTCATATAAGTTCTTTACATGGACTGAGATAAACTGCAAATTAAATGGCAATTTCTAACATGATGGAAGAAAGAAAGTAGGACAATTACATCCTCGAAATCACTGGCTTCTCCCCTGCTAAAGCTCTAGTCCCTTTAAGACAGGCTTTCACTGTATAGGCCACGCTAAACTGAAACTCACAATCCCTCTGTCTCAGCCTCCAGAATGCTATATTACAGGCAAGGATCAAAAGACCTCAACAGACTGGTTCATAACAGACATCTAATGCCAGTTTATTGTGATAGTACGCCTAAAAAGGATCACACATTTAAAAAAATTAAATTTCCCCTACAAAAAATTAAATCTTATATTATTAAAAATTACAGGTACACTAGAATAACAGAGTTTTGTTCCTAAATACCCAACAAGCATTATATAAAATAAACATATGCTAGTAAAAAATTATGTACATCTTGAAATTTTCAGTTTAACTAATTTCCTTTTAATGTAAAGAAAAATGTAAAGATTGGCTTCAAATTCACTTTTAGTAATATAAAATATGAACTTTATTGTATAAAACAATAAACAGGCATTACCAAAAATTATTTATCTAAGTTAAAGTGTTTTAAATGTATATAAAATTGTGAAATAACATGCTTTACCACTAAAGATACTTGATACAATATTCAATGACAGGATAAAACAAATGTCTATTTTACTTCTGTCCCATTTTCAAGTCACCGTATTGAACGATACATCATAAAATCGATGGTTGTGCATCTAGGGAACTTTCCAATAGAGCTCTCTTCCACTGGTGTGTATATCTTAATCTGTCTCATGTGGGTGTCTCTTCCGTTTTGGTGATTGGCTAGAACAGCGATCTGTATCATGAACGTGCGAGTTGGCTTCTTATGATTGTCAGTTAAAGGAACGTGAATCCAGCCACTTGGTTCCACCAATTCAAGTTGCTGATAAGAAAAAAAAAATCCAATTATACTTTCACCCTATGAATAAGTTTACAATGAATGCATTCTATAACTACTCTTAAATTTCTGCTCGCTGAAAGAATAACAATATACTAACCACCTCCAAAAACTTCACTTTGCACAAATACATAGTACAAAATTATAGAAGTATATTTAGGGCTATTTTAGAAATTATGGAGATTCTATCATATTCCTGAACCACGTCACTGAAATTCAAGCCAGACTTTGCATTGTTTAATTTGCTGTTCTGTCTTTATCCTGTTCCAAATAAAACTTTTAAAGGGAATTGTCACTTTTGTAGATCAAAACCAGAAGAGGTAAACTTCATTCCTATATGATTCTACTTTCTTAGGAAGAAGCTTATAAGTTAATATAAATTTCATTACTATCAAGTTTATAGGCTCCTTCCTGATTTAAAGTTCTTTTTCTTTCAAAGTATTGAATGTGACCTCAAAGCAAAACTCCCTTTCCTCAAAGTACATGTGTACCATACACGCACACTCCACCACCACCAACTTTTAAAAAGAAGAAAAACCATCTCTAGGGATAACCAATTGCTTTCTGACTGGATTCGAGGCCCAGCTCAAAAGAAGGACCTTGTGCCTGTTAGTGTAAACTCGGTCAAAAGCCTACGAGTGGTGAGGGGATGGGACCAATAGGAAACCCACTCCTTGTCTCGCTAAGCTGACATGTCATCAAGCTGTAAGTTAAATATTACTGTTCATACCCACAGGCCAGTGCTGCTCTCAATCCTGCTCACAGCTTTCTTATTGCAATGGTGATGGTTAACTCAAAGTCTCACAAGTGGTCAGAACGCTGACAATCAATGAAAATGAAGTGATCGCTCATAAATGGAGCATCTATCTCATTCCCTCCAAGGTTCAGAGGGAATCTCGGAAGAGAGGCAGAAAGGATGTAAAAGCTGGAGACACAGAGGTGTGCTGTGAAGTCCTGCGGCTGTGCTGCAGCTATTGTGCTCATGACCTCATGCCACCTACGGTGACTACACGAGACCTGCATAAGACAGCTGTAAACATCCATCCTGAGCGAGAAAGGAACTCATGAGGCCTCACCCCTCCTTGAGGAACTACTGGCAGTTGGGGGAGGGGGAGTATCATCTTCCTTAGTGGTGTAGCACTAAAAATTGTCCTTATTCCAGTAAATAACTTTCCACCCATGCTCATATAAGCAATCATAATTAAACTCAGATATGAAAGTAAGAAGTAAATTTTTTTCCTTTTTTATTTTTTTAAAAAGAAAACAAACTATCTTTTTTTCATTATACATACCAATCCAAGTTCCCACTCCTTCCTCTCCTTCCATTCCCTCCATATACCCTCCCACCCCACCCCGGATTCCACTACTCAGAGAGGGTAAGGCACATTGCTTAGGGGACGGTCCAAGGCCCTCCCTACTATAATCTAGGCTGAGCAAGATATCTATTCAAAGAGAATAGGATCCCAAAAAGCCAGCACAAGCAGTAGGTATAAATCCTGGTGCCACTGCCAGTGGCTCCTCAGTCTGCCCCAGTCATGTAACTGTCAACCACATTCAGAGGGACTAGTTTGGTCCAGCTGGAGTAGGTGAGCTCCCATTAGTGAAGGTAGACTGTAAGAAGTAAATTATAAAAAACAAAGGCAGACATGAGAGTAAGAGATGTGTTGAGAGGAAGAGTTGCAGCAGGAAGGAATGGGGATTGATGATGGTAGATGGAAGTAATAAAAGTTCACTATATATGTATGAAACTGGCAAAGAAGAAGAGTAAGCCTCAGGCTGGGCTGATATACAACACATCTGTCAAAGACTACACAGATAGAGTCCTATTCTAAACAGTTATATATTTGCTGAGTACGATGGTACGTATCTTTAATCCCAGCACTTGGAAGGCAAAGACAGGCACATCTGAATTTGAGGGCACCCAGATCAATAGAGAAAGTTCAATATATTAAAATGCTCATAGAAACATTATATATAATTGTTTGAATACACACTAATGGTCAAAGAAATAAACAGTGCATTTCTAATGTAGAATACCATATGGCAGGAAAGAGGCGCAATCCATGCTAATCTATATTGAGGACTTAGACACAAGACTACACGTAACATATTTCCTCTGTAAGCAAGCAAAATGAAAGGCAGTTTTTTGTTGCTTTGTTTTTGTTTTTTGGTGACAGGAAGCATACTAGGCTTCAGACTTTGGAAAGTGTGTAGAGGATTTCTTTAGGAACTTTATTTAATTGTTCACTATTACAAAGAACATTTTCTGTGAAAATTCAATAAGCTTTTTACTTTAGTGTGTAGATTTTTGTTTGTATCCGTATTAAAAACAAGACTTGTTTCTTTTTTTAAAATGACCCAGGATTTCCTTTCTGCATTGCTGTGCTCCCTGACTGCCCTGTGAAAGACAAGTTCAGTGAGGTCAACAGGTTTTCAGAGGCTACCAAGTTTCCCATTGGCCGTATCTGTATCACACGCCTTTGTAAAAGGGCAGCAAGTTTCGGGCGTTTACTGTGGAAAGTGATCTTTGCTGTCCAGGAAGGACAGAAGGAGGAACATTGCCTAGGTAACAAGCAATGTCCACATCTCAGACTTGTCCATGATCTTTTACCTATTCATGCTGTAGCTACTACTGTCTTTTTCCTCAGGGCTACTTGAAGTCAGTCCCCTGGGTAAAGTATGGACCTGAACATGCTCTCCTAAGCTTCTCAGCATAGTACCTGAACCACATTATCCACAACAGCGATGATAGAAATTCATACTAAACTAGAGGCAGATTCTGAAACCTGCAAAGGTCAAGAATAGACAAGGAGACACTGACTATACATCACTGAAAGTGAGCAAGGGCTGGGGCTGGAGGGATGGTTCGGTGGTGAACAGCACTGGCTACTCCTCCATGGAACCAGGGTCCAATCCCCAGCACCCACATGGAGGCTCATAAGCATTGGTTGTAACATAAGGACCAGCTTGTTGGGATTTCTGTCCCGCCCAGTACCCCACAGCTGGCAAGTCCCAAAGAAAATCACACAGAGGACTCCATAAAACTATAAACTGATTGGCCCTTAGCTCTGGCTACTTATTGGCTCTTATAACACATATTACCCCATTATCCTTATCTACGTTAGCCACATGGCTTGGTACCTTTTTCAGCTGTCAGCTCACATGTTGCTTCTTTAGTAATCTGGGCAGGAATGGTGAGGGAGCTTCCTGCTTCCTAGAATACTCCTGTTCTCTTTGCTCCATCTCTACTTCCTGTCTGGTTTTCCTGCCTATACTTCCTGCCTGGCCAATCAGCATTTATTTAAAATATGATTGACAGAATACAGACAATTCTCCCGCACCAATTGGTTAACTCGAGTTCCAGGGAATCTAACACCCTCTTCTGGTCAATAGAAGCACTGCATGCAAGTTGTACACAGGCATACACACAAACACATAAAAAAAATAAAAATAAAATTTTAAAACAGGTCAAGGGATTCACACACCTTTTGGTGAATTACTTTCATGTTATAAAATAAGAACCACTACAGGGGCTTCTGCTCTGTCACATGAGACCTTTGACCCCTAACCCTAATTTCCTTTAGGGTCATCAGAATGCTGGCTTAATGCATCTTCAGAAATCTAGTTCTCAGAGTCAGTGTAACCATGCTTATCACAGGCACCTTCCAATATCTATGCCCTATTCTGCATATTATCAGGGCTACACCTTTCTGTGACTCTCTTTTGTCATGAGAAAACATAAAAAGACAAAACAACACTCAAAGCGCTCTCACCTAACTCTAACTTGGTAAAATGTGCTACATAAAGATCATAAGGAGCCCGCTTAGATGAAAATTCATTCAGTCAACAACTTCCATGCCTACTATACAGCAGGATGTGGACCGTTCTGGAAGATGCAGTAAGAGAAAGCAATCACCAAGTCACTGTGCTTTGTGCTCTTTATGATCAGGAAGTACATCTCATCACTAGTCTTTATGCAAATAGCATTTGACTATGATCTGCAAGCACTCTGAAAAAGGAGTTCAGCAAATATACAGACTTTTCCTCTTGCTCTTAGATTCAACAGAATTAACAACTGAAGCACTGGGGAAAACATATAAATCCATAAAAGCCAGGAGAAGAACAACTAGACAACAACTGAGAGGTGGTAAACTGAGAGAAGTCTGCTGGACAACTAACGTCCAGTTTCGTTCCATCCATGACGTTCACTGCATGACATGTGGAAAGACAGGGCTGAGAGGGGAGGAGAAAGGACTAGAAACCAACAGAAAGCAAGGTAACTAAACTTCAGTATCTGAACCTGGAGGGAAGGCCCTTTTGAAGGAATGAATAGCAGGTTAGAACAGATATAAACCAATAAGCAAACAAAACTGGCCAGCATTCTCTGCTGCTTTTGGTTGATCGAGTTCCTTCCCCACTCTTACAGAGAGATAAGGCTTTTCTATGTGGACAACCTGGAAAAGGCAAACTTTTAGAGCTAGGCAAAACCAGGAAAAGATGGCAGAATCATATGACCCAATAGCAAGGCCCTTGGTTCTTTCATCTTGCTCAGCTACAAGAACACTGACTTCCCCATAGGTCACTTGTATCTCTCTACAGACTCTTCCGTCTATCCTGCTAGGTACTTGGGTGAGATAAGAAATCATTTCTGGGCAAAATGGGAAGTTTGTAAAGAAAAGACCTACAGATAGTGAAACACAAATATCCTCAATTTAACGAATTTTATTGAATGACTAATCACTTTGTGTTGAGCACCATTCTAATTCGTTTTGATAAAAATAAAAACAAATGTAAGCAGTTTGTATTCTAGCGGGGATGATAAAAAACCCAAATACATATTATTAAGCATATCAAATAATAAAAACAGTGTGGGAGAAAGGGAGAAAAAAAAAGCCAAGGCAGAAGCATTGAGCATGTATATGCAATTTTAAATAAAGTGAACATTCTAGACTTTATAAAGGGAACGTGAGCAAAAACTTGAAGGA